ATATATACACAGATCTACATCTACATATATATATATATATATGAAAATGTGCATTTCTGCAAGCATCGGATCGATGTATATATGTATTACAAATACATGATATCGATATAGTATATATTCTATCGTATGTATATACAAGCATAATGCATTCACAGATCGAAGTGCCAAGGAAGATCATTCTGCATATGCATCCTCGAACGTCCTCGGTGAGAGCGATCCAGCACTACTGCCTTCTTGAAGCGCTGAGATGGACGAACGGGTCCCAGGAAGAAAATGAGGGCTGAGGGCCCGGCAGTTCTGCATGAGGGTTGCTCCATGCATGCTATATGTATATGTGTATATATATATATGTATACAAATGCTTTATTTTTTAATTATACATAGCTAATATAGAGATATGTTGTCCGGGTGGGTGCCGTCGACATTTGCACAAAATATTTCCTAAAATAGCTTGGAACTACAACGACTTAATTTGTCGAGTCCAGGATTTTCTGAGCAACCGCCAGATTTTCTGAACAACCCATCACAACCATTATAAAAAATGAACGCACTTGGGCTTGCATACGCTTTTTTAATAGCTTTATGGGTATTTTCAATGTATATATGTGGTCAGCAAGCAAGAGAAAACATGCTTTACCATGCCTTGGAACTTTTTCGTCATCCATGCGGGTTTCAACTTGCAACCCCAAATTGTCCTATAAGTCCGGTTGTCCCTGGGGGCGTCCTATAAGTCCGGTTGTCCCCCTCTGGTTGGGCTTGGACCGCGCAAATTGGGTTGGGGGAATCTGCGTGAAGGGATGATTATAATATAAGCCGCGATGAGCGACTCGCTCGCCCTGAGCTGCGAGATCCGGCACAAAATTCGGCCACCCCCGTGGCCTCGAGGCCCGCGGCTTGACGCAGCAGGGCCTCGAGAGGATCCTCGAGTCCACCGGCGATGCTGTCCACTTGGATGTCGATCTGGTTGAGAGGCTGGCCATCCCCGAAAAGGCGGTGGTGGAGGGCTTGGCGACGTCCCATCCTACCCTTCTGCACCTTACTTCTTTCCGAAACGTCCCGGCGGACTCCTGGGAGCGCTTGGGCGCAAGCCTGGACACCGACCTCCTGCGGCAGGTGAACCTCAGCTGGCCCCTCGGCCTTTCTCTCTGCGTTTTTTGGGGAGAGCTGCGCCCTGCCGGGAGAGAGCCGAGGTGCTTCCACGATTCTGGCGCGGGCTCCAAGGCGCTACTGGCCGGGCTGGCGCGGTGCCGGAAGCTGCAGGACCCGCCGAGTTCCGAGCTGCTTTGTGTTTAGGACGGAAAGCCGCGCCCGCGCTTCCGGCAAAAAACATCCGGGGTTTGGCGGCCCGGGGCCTGCTTTTGCCAGGACCTGGTGATGGACTGTTGCGACAAAGTCCCGGGCGAGGCCTGGGCGGAGCTCGGAGCCGCGGAGTGGCCGGAGCTCCGGAAGGCCAGTTTTTATGCGCGCCTCGGCCGTTGGGAGATTTGGCGGGTCGGAGGGGCAGAGGGGTTGGAGGGGAGAGAGGGGCCTTTTACTTTTGAGGAGAGAGAGAGAGAGAGAGAGAGCTCTAAGCGTCTGCGAGGGAGAGCGTGCGATGCTCCGATGCCGGGGCGAGGTGTTTCGAATCACGCGGCGAGGGCTCGGAGGAGCTGCTGGCAGCTTTGGGCCGCTCCCAGCAGCTGGAGGCCTCCGTCACTTCCAGGGGGCAGCTCAGAGAGAAAGAGAGCCAATCCTCTCGCTTCCGTCCCGGCAGCGGCTGCCAGGTGGTGACCCTTTTTTTTTGCGATGAGATCCCCGACACGGCCTGGAAGCTGCTGGGCGACGGGGCGTGGCCTCGCCTCCGCGTTGCCGAAGGCGTCCCGGAGGAGCACCTGGAGCGCCTGTGCGAAGCTCCTCTGGACCTCGAAGCGGGTGCAGGCGGGTGGAGGTGTAGGAAGCGTGCGTTCGGGGCACTCGTTTCGTCTCTGGCTCTGGCTTTGGGTTCCGCCACGTCAGTCGAGAGATCCGGAGCTCACGGAGTGACCGCACTGTCATTGTCTGTATAAGACTAAGTACTGTAGGAATGCAAGGCATGCGTGGATGGAGGGATGGATGGATGGACGCATGCGTGGATGTCTGTCTGGGGACCGGAAGCAGTAGCTACAGCTAGAGGACGAAGCCGCGAAGCTTTTCGGACCGTCCGAGCGTCTTGCGAAGCACTGTCTGCAGATCACCTGAACACCGCACCCTTCCGATCGACGCAGGCGAGGCGGCAAGCTCCATGGAGCTGCAGGAGCCCGGTGCCAAGCAGCTGCCGATGTACCCCACTTTCGTCACCTCCGTGGTGATGCCGAGAGCACCAGCGGCAGTTCAGGGGGACCTCGGCCTGCTGCCCGCTCTGGCCCGCTCCGATGTCGAGGACGCGACGGCAGGTTGAAGGGCAGCTGGTACATCACGTAAGTTCAGCATGCTTCTTTTGATTTGTACCGGGGGAGAGGAGAGCTGAGAGGCACCTTGACAAACCCTCGCGGCCATGCAGGAGCTGAACTTAGATGGGTGCCGGGACGTCCCTGCCGCCGTGTGGCAGCAGCTCGGGCAGGCTCAGTTCCAGAAGCTCAGGAAGGCGAGCTTCGACGAGCGCCTCGGAGAGCAGAGTGCTTTGCGGCTCTCCTCTTGTTGTGTTGGATGTGGGAGGAAGAAGGGCCTGCGCTTTTTTCTCTTTCGCGAGGTGCTTCAGCATCTATTCCAAGGGGGCCGAGGGCGCCGCCGGGCTGCTGTTGGCCTTGGGCCGCTGCCAGCTGCTGCAGGATGTGCGTAGCTTTCTGGGTCTCGTCGGAGCTTCGTCGGGGTTTCCTGCCAGTCTTTGAGGTCGAGCCACGAGGTGCTGATGACGATAGTCATCTGCTAAGCTCAGCGGTTAGCTCCCCGCTCCCAGTTCCAGTGTGCGCAGCACCGCGATTGCAAAGGGGAAAGGGCTGAAGAACGCTGGCCGCAGCCTGGAGCTTCCAACACCCCTGCAAGCCCAAACTCCGCTGCAGAGCAGAGCACCGGAGACCCGGCTCTCGGCCAGGAGCTGGGCATGAAGGTGTGCTCTCAAATCCCGGCCGCGGCCTGGCAGCTCCTTGCCACCGCCCGCTGGGAGCAGCTCCGGAAGGCGGATTTCTCTCGGCGCCTCGGAGGGCCGCTTTTTAAAGGGGGATCCTTTGTTGAGGAGGCTTCGCTTCTATCAGAGGAGGCGAGGGTTTCAAGGCATCTTTTTGTCAGAGACCTGCCATGCTGCTACCGAAGTGCCGCCGAATCCATCGATCGAGGTGCTTCGACGAGGATTCCGAGGGCGGCGAGGGCGCCGCCGTATTGCTCTCGGCCTTGGCACGCTGCCGGCAGCTGCAGGACGCGTCAGCGCGCGAGTTCGATTCTGCTTGCAGCTTCCGAAGCTTCTGAGGGAGCGGAGGCCGTGCAGGGGCAAGCGAAGTTGACGTTGGCGGGTGAAGCTCGAAGCCAAATGGATCGGGCTTGTTGCCTGGTCGTGGGTGGTGAGTCTGATTTAAATGCTCATTCGTACCGGTACGCTTCAAAAAAAGGCTACATTCCTCGTCCCCGGAGGGCCTCGCTTCGGTCCAAAGCCCGCAAACGCCTGAAAACGTTCAGTCCTTCTTGGGACCCGAGACGGGTCTCTGAAGGGATTTGAGAAGGGAGGCGCCCCCCCCAAAAGCGAGGACAACCAATCCGATCCTGCCGGCCAGGACCTGAAGATGGGCGGCTGCTCTCAAATCCCGGCTTCGGCGTGGCAGCAGCTCGAGGGCGCCCAGTGGCCGAAGCTCACGAAGGTGTACTTCGGGTCGCGCCTCGGCTTTTGTTGGGCGCCTGTTGGAGTGTGTGTGGTCTGGTCGAGATGGTTGTGTTGGGCTGCGAGGGGATGTGGGAGTGGAAGAGGCGGCAGGAACCCAGCCGTTTCACAGGAGTGGTCCACAACAAATCGTCGTGGTATGCTTAGCTCATTGCCGTGAAGCCTGTTCCTTCGCACTCGACGCTTCGTGCCGTGATTGTGGGGGCGCGGTGGGTTTGAGGCGGCCGGCACCAAGCCATTTCAGTGGGAAGTTTCGATGGTGCTCAGGGACAGATCGAGCCTTGGTATTTGAGTTTGTGGACTGCAGACTTCGTGGGTTTATGTAAGGCGGTTAAAATGAATGGACTGTTTCAAAGCATTTTGGTAGATGCGACCGCACAGCAGGGGTTTCAGCCCGAGGTGCTTCGGCAGCGACTCCATTTGCATCGAGGCTGCGGCTGGGCTTCTCGCCTTCCTCGGCCGCTGTCCCGAGCTGCAGGACGCGACTGCTGGCCCCAGGATATAGTCCGTGGCTGGTCTTGCTACTTCCGTTCAGTGGTACCGAGCTCTGGGGGTTTGGGCGGGCAGAAGCCGAACGGGCGAGCACCAGACATCAACAGCTGTCACAAAGTAGCAAGAGAAATTTGCATGGGATTTCCGCATCAATGCTCAGAGTGGAGTGGAGCTCCAAAGCACTCCGGCGGAGGCTGGAAGCAAGGCTCCCCAGCGAGAAGAAACGAACATGGGGAGCCCTTTGGCCTCAGGCCAGGGCCGCGCACTCCCGGGCGTTGGGGTTGCGGCGGCTGGCCTTAAAAGGTTCGACATGCGAGTGCCAGAAGCTCACCCCACGTCGATCGTGCGAGAGGTCAGGGCTTAACACGGAGCGCTGCTGTGTACTTTCGCTGGGAAGCCGTACCCGGGGCCGCGGCGGCGGTTCTTTTGCCCAAAACAGCCGAGGAAGCTTCTGGGGGTCAAGGAGGCTGGTTGTTCTTCCTCGGCCATGTCTAACCTTCAGGTTTGTTGCATCCTGTCCTCACCTCTCCACTCCTCTCCACTCCTTTCCCTCTCCGCTCCATTGCCCTTCTCTCCACTCCTCTCCATTCATTTCCTTTCTTTGCCTGCCTACTCTTCTCCACTCCCGCCCTCTCTGGTATTGCCCCGAAACGGGCGGGGGAGCAACCAATCCGGCCCGGGCGGCCAGGAGCTTGGGATGTATGGCTGCGATCAAATCCCGGCGGCGGCGTGGCAGCAGCTCGAGGGCGCCACGTGGTCGAAGCTCACGAAGGTGAACTTCCAGGGGCGCCTCGGCTTTTCGGGCACTTGTTGGAGTGTTCTGGGATCGTCTCGTGGAGATAGTTTTGCGGGTGTGAGGGAGATGTGGGAACGGTGCGAGACTTCAAGGTGGCAGACACCCAGGCCCAGCCATTTCACGGAAAGCTCGTTGTCTGAGACGATGTTTGCGAAAAAAACAGCCGAAGCTCGAGATTCTCTCGGCACAGCTTTCTCACTCAGTGCCGGCCCAGGTGCTTCGACAAAGAGTCCAAGGGCGCCGGCGGCGCGGCGGGGCTTCTTGCGGCCCTGGCCCGCTGCACTGAGCTGCAGGACGCGGTCGCATTGCACTCCAAATAAAGCCCTAGCGATGATGTGATGCGGACGATGGTGGCAACAACGATGATTTGGTGGTAGTCCGGTGGCGAGTATGCTGTTTGCGTGTTTGTATTTCATATCACCGATCTTGCCTCTGCCATAGCCTTTCAAGCACCCAAGGCCTGCTCTGCCGATCCCTAAGCCCTAAACGTCCCGCATGCTCCGGATCCCTGAACTCAACAGGCGCAAGAACCCTGTAAACGTAAGCTCTAGCTTGCGTCCTAGCCGGGAAAGCTTCCCCTCTTTATAGTATTTCTCGAAACAGGCGGGGGAGCAACCAATCCGGCCCGGGCGGCCAGGAGCTTGGGATGTATGACTGCTCTCAAATCCCGGCGGCGGCGTGGCAGCAGCTGGAGGGCGCCCATTGGCCGAAGCTCACCAAGGCGAACTTCTACCGGTGCCTCGACGTTTGGGCACCTGTTGGAGTGTTCGTGGATGCTCTCGAGATGGTGGTGGGGGTGCTTGGGGGATGTGTGAGCGGTGCGAAACTTCGAGGTGGTAGACATCCAACCGTTTCACAAGAAAACACCTGGTCTGAGAGATGGTCTTAGATACAAGTAGCAGAAGCGTCCGAAGTTCGTCGGCACGGACTTCTGATTCAGCTTCCGGCCCAGGTGCTTCGGCGAAAATTCCAAGGGCGCCGATGGCGCAGCCGGGCTCCTCACGGCCCTGGCCCGCTGCGCTGAGCTGAAGGACGCGAGCTCGTTGAGTTTGCAGCGAAGCATGGCTGTAACAATCTTTATGACAACTGCACACGCTAAAGGCATCGTCTTGCTAGTTACGTTCAGTTGGACCGACCTCCCCGGGGTTTGTGCACTCAGAAGGGCGAATTGTCGAACACCAGACATGGACAGCGGTCACAAAGTAGCAAGAGAAATACAAGCATGGCATTCGGCATCGCTGGGTCCGGCTCGAAGAAAACCCGAGAGAGCTCCCCAACAAGAAACGGAAATTGGGGGCCCCTTTTGGCCTCGGACCGGGGCCAAGCACTCCCGGGCTTCTGCAGTGATGCGATCGTGGGGAAGTTGCACCGGGCATGAAGTGCCCGCGTTCATGCATAGCAGGCTGGAGGGAGAGAGTTGCTCCTTTAGGTTCTAGTGCATGCCCATCGTCAATCTCACATCCATGGAGAAAGGGGTCGCCGTGCGAAGCGTGGAAATTCCCTTGAGAAGAGAAGCAGGCACCCAGCTCTTGAAGGGCGTCTTTTTCGCTGCGGGAGAGTTGGATCTCCGTTCGCAACGACAGTACGACATGTCGCCAGGAAGGCGTGCATTGCGACTGCCCCACCCCCCCACCTCCTGGGAAACGTCCTGACACTCGGACCAGGAAGAACTCCTAAGGATTCACGCCCGTTTGGAGCCTCGGAGTTTCAGAGCCTCGGAGGGTCCGGGGCATCTCGTCCAAAAAACTGCGTGACTGCGTCATCCTCTTCCTAACTTCAGCTAGTTGCGGCTCGAAGGCTCGAGGCCGCCGTGCTCAACCTTCGCAAGTCCAGCTCGGGTCCTAGCCCGGAAAGCTTCTCCCCTCTTGATAGTATTTCCCGAAACAGGCGGGGGAGCAACCAATCCGGCCCGGGCGGCCAGGACCTCGACATGCGTGGCTGCTCTGAAATCCCGGCGGCGGCGTGGCAGCAGCTCGAGGGCGCAAAGTGGCCGAAGCTCACGAAGGTGTACGTCTCCGAGCGCCTCGGTGTTTGGGCACCTTTTGGAGTGTTCGTGGATGCTCTCGAGATGGTGGTGGGGGTGCGAGGGGGATGTGGATGGATGTAGGAGCGGTCCGAAACTTCGAGGTGGTAGACACCCAACCGTTTCGCAAGAAAACACCTGGTCTGAGAAGTTGCTTTAGATACAAGTAGCAGAAGCGTCCGAAGGTCTTCGGCACGGACTTCTGATTCAGCCCCGGCCCAGGTGCTTCGACGAAAATTCCAAGGGCGCCGATGGCGTAGCCGGGCTCCTCACGGCCCTGGCCCGTTGCGCTGAGCTGGAGGACGCGAGCTCGTTGAGTTTGCAGTAACACCGAAGAGCCTTCAGGGGGAAGAAGGCCGGGCGAAGCATGCCGACGGAGGCCTCCTAGCAGAGCAGGAAACTTACATGAACACATGAACCCGTTACCGTCATGATCATGTTGCTGCTGCTGCTGCTGCTGCTGCTGCTGATGAGAACGATGCTGATGCTCAAGATGATTTGGTGGTGACCGTGATCCAGATGATTCGTATCATCATGACATGTGCGCCCGCCAACCATCTAAAACCCCTACACCCTGTAATTTTTAGTACCCTATTGAATCTTTTAGACTGTAAACATAAGTGCTCCACTGTAGCTCCTTTTCTATGTTACTTTATGGGATCCTAGATAGAATTTGCTAAGCCAACAAAAGGAACTACAATAAAGACAATAAGTAAACCCTAAACCGGGCATGACGAGCGACTTGGGCACAGGCCGTCGCCTCAGCGGAGATTTTTACGAAGGAAGAGGAAAATTGACTCCCCTTGCTTGAGAGGGCGACCCTGGTTAGCTCTAGAAGCTACACTTAGAAGGTTACAGTACATCCCGAGATCTCGAGCTGAAGCCTCCGACGTCCAATCCCATCGGCCCTTGGTCGTCGCACTCGCTTCCAACATCCGACTGTCATGCCAATGCCAGGACGTCTACGGCCTTTCAAGCGAGCACATACAAGCACTGTTTCGCCTGTGCCAGGGCTCATGATCGCGAGTTTTTGAATTCCTTGGCGGGTTTAGCATTTTGCGCGCGAATCCTGCTTTTTCTTGCAGATGATGGGCGAGAGCAAGCTTCCCTGCTGTTGGGGTACGACAACTTCGGCATTTCAACTTGCGAGGTATACTCCCCATCGAAAGATGACAAGCCCTAAACGACCTCCGGAAAATCGGTAGTATCTTGAACGGTTTGATTGTTTCAGGACCGTTGAAGAACCTGCAATATCAACTGCCCAGATCCCTCTACGCGAATAGTTACAATTCAGCAACGTGTGCTATAGTCTCGACGGGAAGCTGCTCGCGCGCACAAGGATCAGCTAGGCATGTCGGAGGATCAGAGGCCCTGCTTCGATGCGAAAGCCTAAAAGGCTATGCCGACACCGGAAATCCAAAGTCTGAATCCTCAACGCTTGACCTCCGGTCCCCACACCCGAAGCCCTGCGACCCGAAACCTTCAACGATCCGGAGACTAGAGTTCCAAGCCTTCTCGACCTGAAATAAAGCAATAAAGCATCCTCAATGCGAGAGTAGGC